CGTGACAAGAAAGTGAGGTGACGTGACGGTGATAATAGGCCCCCAGATTTCGCGTTATTTTTGCAACATGTTTGATAAAGGAGATTCTTCATCCCAAACATCAAATTCAACAGAGATTTTTAAGGCAGCTGAGCTATTAACGAAAGAGAACGTCGATGGAGAGAATCGATCAAAGCCGATAGGACTTGAATTGTTCGTCTAGAGTTCTATATAGATACATCTTTCTTGATATGCTGTAAAACTGATCGTAACACCAATAGGCTTTTTGGACCTTGCGATAACAACAACATAGTAATATTAACATTTGCACAAGCAAAGTTAGAGCGATATAATTGATGTTTTAAATTCTTCCATAGTAATTTCCAAGCAAATTTTAAACCTTTGGCGCGACCTCTAAACCTTCATCAATCGTTATATTTTTTTTGCACAGGTTCATATTTTGGGGTTATGAATCGGTTCATCCACAGGTTCATATTATGAATTATGAATCCAGCCTATCAGAAAGTCATCATTATTTTTCAAAATGAAGCGCCCCATTGAAGGGCTTAAGAACTTAAGTGGACCCTACACGATTGCTGTTATTGACAACAATCGTATTGTCAATACATTCTACATTGACGTCAATACATCTAAATAATTTCTGTATTAACATAATCAATATTATCGTAGATGTCAATCAATATCAATATTATGTAGATGTCTTTCGAGAAGTGAAGTAATTTCACTATCCTTACTTTGTTATAACTGGCATAACTGCACATCGAAATGTCAAAATTGAAAAAAAAATAGTTGAACTAAAATTGAATTCGTCGAACTAATATTTGAATGTCTGCTAAAAGTGTTGTACGACATGTAATTATCGGTGTAAGGTCGGTTAATGCTGGGTAATGCGCAATACAGATCCCATTGAGATCACTAGCCTCTTCCCAGCACCTCCTATCCCTACCTCCCCGTGGTACCGGCCGGGAACTGTGAGCAACCTTAGGGAAGATCGGGTAACCAACCCCGGTGGGAACTTTGGTCATAGGCTGACAGGGAAGGGGGGGTTTGCTTCGGCAAGCCTGAGCGTCTGTTCTCCAGGAGGAGCGGCTCACAACAGCGTCTGTTCCCCATGTAAGGGGCGGCTGATCTACGTCCGAGTGCCAGTGAAGGACTCTAAGCACAACTGTGCACCCTGGTCCTCCGGAAAGTTAGGGGGTTAGTGTCAGGCCCTGCGAGCCAGCCGTAAAAAAGCATTGCAACGGAAAATCAGCAACAGAGGAATACGAACCGAGACCAACGGCAACGACCCCAGCGACGAAATAGGACTTGCGATTGGAAACTCGGCACGTGGAACTGTCGATCTCTCAATTTCATCGGGAGCACCCGAATACTCGCCAATCTACTGAAGGACCGCGGATTCGGCATCGTAGCGCTGCAGGAGGTGTGTTGGACAGGATCCATGGTGCGAACGTTCAGAGGTAATCATACCATCTACCAGAGTTGCGGCAAAACACGCGAGCTCGGCACAGCTTTCATCGTGATGGGCGAAATGCAGAAGCGCGTGATCGGTTGGTGGCCGATCGACGAAAGAATGTGCAGGTTGAGGATCAAGGGCCGATTCTTCAACTTTAGCATAATCAACGTGCACAGCCCTCACTCCGGAAGCACTGATTATGACAAGGACGCATTTTACGCGCAGCTCGACCGCGAGTACGATCGCTGCCCAAGCCACGACGTCAAGATCATCATAGGAGACCTAAACGCTCAGGTAGGCCAGGAGGAGGAATTCAGACCGACGATTGGAAAGTTCAGCGCCCACCAGCTGACGAACGGGAACGGCCTACGACTCATCGATTTCGCCGCCTCCAAGTACATGGCCATACGTAGCACCTTCTTCCAACACCACCTCCCCTATCGTTACACCTGGAGATCACCACAGCAGACGGAATCACAAATCGACCACGTTCTGATTGATGGACGGCACTTCTCCGACATTATCGACGTCAGGACCTATCGTGGCGCTAACATCGACTCTGACCACTACCTGGTGATGGTCAAACTGCGCCCAAAACTTTCCGTCATCAACAATGTACGGTACCGACGCCCGCCACGGTACAACCTAGAGCGACTGAAGCAACCGGATGTCACCTTAGCATACGCGCAGAATCTCGAGGCAGCGTTGCCAGAGGAGGGCGAGCTCGATGTACTCCCTCTAGAGGACTGCTGGAGTACAGTAAAAGCAGCCATCACCGACGCAGCCGAGAGCACCATCGGGTACGTGGAAAGAAGTCGACGGAATGAATGGTTCGACGAGGAGTGCAGAGCGATTTCGAGGAAATGGAACTGCTGTGCCGTTCCCAAGAAACACGGAAGTTCTACCAGAAGCTCAACGCATCCCGCAACGGCCTTGTGCCGCGAGCCGAAATGTGCAAGGATAAGGACGGGAGCCTCTTGACGGACGGACGTGAGGTGATTGAAAGGTGGAAGCAGCACTTCGATGCTCGCTGCACTCTATGGCGAACCCAGCATCCAGAAGGTGGCCAAAGCCGGAAGGATGCGGTGGGCAGGGCATGTTGCAAGAATGCCGGACAACAACCCTGCAAAGTTGGTGTTCGCTACTGATCCGGTTGGCACAAGAAGGCGTGGAGCGCAGAGAGCACGATGGGCGGACCAGGTAGAGCGTGATCTAGCGAGCATTGGACATGTACGAGTATTGTGGCGTACTATTGTTGATTATGTCTTATCTTAAATGTGATGTTGTACAAATAAATGTATGTAATGACAAGTAATTATTTGATTGTGGACGAGTATGAGTGTCTGCTATTGAACATCGCGTTAGAAGGTGTGATCAGAAGAGCTGGGATAGACACGAGTGGCAAGATCTTCAGGAAGTCCATCCAGCTTCTTGACTTTGCCGATGACATCGACATCACGGCACGGAGCTTTGAGACGATGGCGGAAACGTACATCAGACTGAAGGCTGAAGCTAGGCGGATTGGACTTGCCATCAACGCATCGAAGACAAAATACATGAAAGGAAGAGGTTCTAGGGAAGACCATGTTAGCCTCCCACCCCGAGTTCAGATTGACGGTGACAAAATCGAGGTGGTCGATGAGTTCGTGTATTTGGGCTCACTGGTGAACGACGAAAATGATACCAGCAGTACCAGTATTATGGCAAGAAATCGTGCCTACTTTGGACTCCGGATGAAGCTCCGGTCGAATACAATTTGCCGCCGCACTAAGTTGACTATCTACAGGACGCTGATTAGACCGGTGGTCCTCTACGGCCACGAGACCTGGACCATGCTCTAGGAGGACTGGGATACTCTCTGTAACTTACTTGGGCTGAAGCCTATATTAGACCCATCTCACCAATTGTTTAACTGTTTAACTGCACTATTATTATAACTACAGGCTTGTTATTGCGCTACACATTCGCGAATACGCGAAGACCAACGCAACGAATCACGACGAAAGATAACAAACTGAAAAAAAAACTGCAAAATGAAATGAAAACAGAAAACTGATGATGAAAACTGGAAAGCGAATGCCAGCTGCGATCAAAATGGGTTCGAGCTTAATTCAACCCGAGTTATGCAAATCGAGCATCATGGTCACGATGGTCTAACCAGGTCTAACATCTAACATCCTCGGTTCAGGGCGCTGACGTCCGGTTTCAAATATGTATTTTATATGAAACGTTGCATACCTTTAGGTGTTATCTCTATAGACAATAATCTAGCACCAAGAGTTCAAATGCGATAGCAATTAACCACTTCATTCGAGCAGTTAAAATGACGTTTACTACCACTCGAACTTTGAAATAAAACATTATTTTGAGATTTGTCCTTCTAGAACCACGAGAAAACTAGCCAACATTTGTGCGTTTCATAAAAAAATAGAAATTAGTTGGTCCAGTTTTGTAAAATCGCATTGTACATTGTTGATAGATTTATTGCAACTGATCGTTAGATGAAAGAATAACCATCATTTTCCTGTGAAAATTTATTAATTTAATTTAATTTTGAGCTAGTAATAGCATATTGTACAATTGAGGATTATTAGCTAAAAACTAAGAAATTGCCTGAAATAAAATGAACAATGTCAAAAATATGTAGGGGAAATGACTCTAGTGTTGGCCTATGGATTTAAGATTGGGCTCAACGCTAAAAATCGGCTATTTATCAATGATGAACGCGTCATTGAGAAGGAACTAATGGATATTTTTAGTCGTTATTGAAAATTTAGTCGATTGCTGAATTTATGTATGGGCCCAAATTAGGGGCATTTAGCCCGACATTACATCTATTTCCCCTATTACATGTTTTATCACAATATTTCTTATAATGAGTATCAAAATCACATGTTTTATGTTTCAACAATTAGGTGTTTCCTGCTGCTTCTGGCACCTCGCATCACCAGAGGGCGAGCAACCTGCAATCGTATGGACTGGTGGAAAATCGACTTCATGAAATTCACTTTTAATTAAAAATATCAATAATGGTGCAATTTGTCCAATATATTATTTCTACATAATGTCACTATTACTAAAATGTTCAAAATACAGAAATGTTCTCACTTCTAGAAGCAAGCTTTGATGAGAAAACGATGATTTTTCTAGAATATTCATTCCACAAAACTGGTAGTGTATTTTGTATGTCTGTACAAGATATTAGGCACAGTTCAACTTGTGGTGCTTGCACGGTACAACCACAGACAAAACAACAGTACTACTTTGCATGTCTAACAATAATATTTATTAGCACATATTCTCGTTTTCGTTCAAACCGTATTTTCCATACAAAACATTTTTTATATGGTGAATACGATTCAAACAAAATCTAGAATATAGGTGATTATCATGGTTATTAAATTTCTTCAACCACCGAATCTCACAACTTACCCAAATTGCCAACATTTAGGGGCACTCATTATAAAAATGTTGATCATAAGCTCAGTCACAGGGTTGGCAAAAGATGGGAGGTCATTGAAAATCACATTGATTCCGAATTTGTACTCATAACGGTTTTATTTACATACCTTTCTGAGAACACAAAATTAGGATTTACGACAAAAGTCAATCTTAATAATAATCATTATTTACGAAAAATGTGAATATCTACCCCTAACCGAACGCTCACTGATAGTACAGTTCCAAGTTCATACCGTCATGGATTTCATCTAAAATGAAAAAAGTAACATATATTATTCGATTTTGAAGCCGGAAGCGTTTTGCCAAACACTTACAATCCGACAGCTTTATGTTATCCTTGAAGATTGTATACCACTTTTTCAACACAATCTTATCGTACCGGGTTCCTGTTTGTGCGGCAATCAGCTTCTTGAGGTCGCCGATCGTATCGTCCGGGTTGCATTTCACGCGAACCTAAAACATGGGGGGAAAACATGCAGCTGCTGGATGTTAATAAACTATGCTGAATTACCTTCTTGCCCAGACGATCGTTGCAAGTGATTTCCAACATCTTCTAGTGAAGTTGTTGCAGAATGATGTTTGAAATTGCTCAAAAAATGCTTTGATTTTTTGTGTACACCTGGAAACGTTCTCGAACAGCCGAATCAAAACAACAACGAATCCGACTTCGGACTTCGGAGAGCACTGCTGTCAAAAAAGAGCACAGGGTTGCATTACGGATGGGGTTCTTGCAGTTATTTTAATGCCCAGTGGAGTTTCAAACTGACAGAGTATCAAGATTTTTAGAAAAGGTTAGAAAAGCAATTATATATACTATCATCCAGATTCTCATTTTTAGCATTGTTGCGTAGCAGTTATAATATTATGTTATATGCGAGGGGCAATTCACTGCTCTCAAGAATGAATCGAAAATACGTTTATGAAAAAAATACACAAAAATTCATCATTACTCGTCATTACTCAAAAAAATGCAAAAAAATACAAAATTCGGAAAAAAGTACAAAAATATTCGACGAATAATAAAAATACACGATAATTCGTCATTTGGACGAAAAAATCGAAAATATGTACAATCAAAATGCTGAATTCGAACAAAATGCGTAAATTTATTATTTTGTATTTTAATCCGAGCTCGAATCACAAAACAATGCATTAATGAGTAGAATTTCGCCCATTTTTAAGAAAAGTGCGTTAAATCATTTATTAATAAAAAAAAACATTTTGAGTAGTTGTGAGCCACAAATAAGTAACGATTATTCATTAATGCGTAACTGATGCTTATTAATGCGTAATGAGCGAGGTAAGGGGCTGTTCATAAACTACGTAGACAATTTAGGGGGGAGATGGCAATTAACCGCGGCCCATACAAATTTTAAAAATTTTGTGTGGACAATTGTCTACGCAGGGTTATAAGGGGGTGGGGGGGGGGCGAGGAAACCCAAAAAAACTGTCTAAGTAGTTAATGAACAGTCCCTAATGAGTTAATGAGTTAAGCCTCTTTTCTTTAAAATGGGTGAAATTCTACTCATCAGTGGGTATTTTAAAGTTAGCGTGCGTTGTGTATTTGTCAAACAAAACGTCAACATTGTGAGTTTGATCCGTTAGATCCTCGGTTCGAGTGGTAAACATAAACACTGAAATGATAGAATACACTTATAACTGATTTCCAATACATTAATGCATAAAAATACACTTTTATTTTTCTAATACACAAAAAAATACATATATTCAAAAAATACAAAAAAATACATTATTACACAAAATACACGTTTATTCGATAAAAAAATAATTCAATACGTTCATCAATACGTTGGCCTGAATCGAAAATACACAAGTGAATCGCCCCTCGGTTATATGCCTATCTTGATGACATGTTTCTTGTCGATAATTATTATAACATGTTATAAACTTTTAACTCTGTGTCTGAATGTGGTACGCGGAAACGAATTTTGTTCATTTAAATCAAAGTATAAACAACAATCAATACGAAACTAACGATTTTAAATTGGCTCACCACTTTAGTAGCCTATTGGTCCCAAGCAAACGATTAACGTACCCTATTCTAGTTGAAATTCTATTACTACACTATGTTTGTTTTGATTCGCTATGAAAGTTTGACAGATAACATCAGGGGTGTGTGGATTCATGCAGAACATGCAGGGGTGAGTGAAATAGCTTGGGACTGCTTGGGACCGTTGTTCTGGTACTGAGTGAGCCAAAAATAATAATGATTTTCTTCGGGACCCAGTGGTCTTAGAGTTACCTCTATGGTATAAATGTTTATTCTCTAAACATATGAATTATTCAAAGCAAATTGAAAATATGTTTAAAGCAAAAATGTTTACGTTTAAATTAAATTCAAAAGCATGTTTATTTCAACAATAAAGGATTTGATAGTATTTGATTATTTATTCAAAAATATTTATTGTCGTTTGAATCAAAAATATTCGTATAGATTTTTACGTTATTTTTGTGGAGAGTACCCGTGCAAATTTGTTGTCATAAACGCTGAACAGTTATAACATGTTATAACGGTTGTCAAATAATTGCAACACAGAAACCACCATCAAGATAGCGCTATACCAAGTTATAACTCTATAGTCTGAACGTACTTATACACGCCAAGAACCCCCAGGAGGATCTGTTTTTAACCCGTTGATTTGTATTATCAGGATCGAATGGCTAGAATTGGCAATTCATACATTTGTATATGTACACATGAATTTTGACCATACCTTTTAGCAATTTATTCTATTGCAGCAGCAGCAGCAGCACTACTGAACATTATTATTGATTTAGACAAAGGTTATGGATATCAACCCTTAGATCCCTAAGCGCTGCCGGCAAGTAGGCATTTTTTGAAAAATCCTTATTCTGATGTAAAGAAACGGTTTGGTTGACGTTTCCTCACGAGCTCGCCTGCTGCATTCTACATTGATGCATTGAAAAAGACTATTGATATATAAAAACTACAAGGGACACCCCTATGGGGTTGTACACAATGATGACGAAGGACTACGTGGTCTTATATAATAAATCTTATTTGTTAACTGCAGCAGGAGCTTGTATTTTGTGTAGGAATAATAATTATAGCGGGGTTATCTCTGTTTATACGCTTTAGTATGACGCGCTTGACATAGATGGCCCACAGCGACTCACGAAGAGCTACTGATTCCGATCAATATCGGTGCAGCTTCTTCATCCTTCTATGGATGCTCATGGGACGCAGATCGCTGCTTGCAGGCAGCCTTTCGTTGTGCGTACTGGAGAACAAGGTTCAACGCCACGCGCCAAAAGCACTGCTACCAACAATCAATACGAAACTAACGATTTTAAATTGGCTCACCACTTTAGTAGCCTATTGGTCCCAAGCAAACGATTAACGTACCCTATTCTAGTTGAAATTCTATTACTACACTATGTTTGTTTTGATTCGCTATGAAAGTTTGACAGATAACATCAGGGGTGTGTGGATTCATGCAGAACATGCAGGGGTGAGTGAAATAGCTTGGGACTGCTTGGGACCGTTGTTCTGGTACTGAGTGAGCCAAAAATAATAATGATTTTCTTCGGGACCCAGTGGTCTTAGAGTTACCTCTATGGTATTACCACAAACGAAGTGACAGACGACTAACTGGCGAAGAAATCCATTAAAATAATGTGGTTCATTGTAGTAGAATTTTCTTGGAAGCTTGTGCCATCATGCACCAGATGGGTTAGTTTTTTTGTTTTGATTTGAACAAAGTTGATTTTGTGTACAATGATTCTTTGACAGTGTGCAAAGAGTGTATCATTTTGTCATTTTTTATGCATTTCAGTTTTGAGTAGAGTGAAAGAGATAGAACCAAAACATTCTAATACATTTGGTGAAATTGCTAGTACAATCCAGTAGTAGTGTTGCCATGTGGTACAATCCAGTAGTAGTGGTGTTGTCATGTGGTACACTGAAAAATTGATATAGCAGGTTAGTCACCAAAGTTTTCGAGCCGCTCCGTCTGTCACTTCGTTTGTGGTATTACCATAGAGGTAACTCTAAGACCACTGGGTCCCTAAGAAAATCATTATTATTTTTGGCTCACTCAGTACTAGAACAACGGTCCCAAGCAGTCCCAAGCTATTTCACTCACCCCTGCATGTTCTGCATGAATCCACACACCCCTGATGTTATCTGTCAAACTTTCATAGCGAATCAAAACAAACATAGTGTAGTAATAGAATTTCAACTAGAATAGGGTACGTTAATCGTTTGCTTGGGACCAATAGGCTACTAAAGTGGTGAGCCAATTTAAAATCGTTAGTTTCGTATTTATTGCTGGTATCTATGATTCAATTATGAATAAATAAATAGTGAAGATTTTTTCCTTTCTTGGAACAGCACGCATCGCACCAATACGAAGACGACGGATGACGACGAAAATACATCGACCGGAGGAAAGGCTTCCCGCAATAGGCAGCATTACTAGGTCGCCGTCCGAGCCACTGTCATCCGGTCGACATCGACTTGCACTGGTGTGGCCACCATTTGAAAAACAACCGGCCCTTTTCAGGGCCACCAATTCAAAACTAAGGTAAGAACTAAATGATCAACATATTTGTTCCATCCACTAGTGCGGTCCTACCATAGAGGTAACTCTAAGACTAGAAGGTCCCGAAATAACGTGCTCAACTTTTTGGCTCAGCTCTGGTACTCTCTTCGGTCCCAAGCTAATCGATTCACCCCTCGAAACATAGAAAAATCCAATAACCCCTCATTTTATCTGTCAAACTTTCAAAGCGAATCAAAACAAACATTGCGTTAGTAGAATTTTGACTAGAATGGGATACGTTAATCGTTTGCTTGGGACCAATAGGCTAGTCAAGTAGTGAGCCAATTTAAAATCGTTAGTTTCGTATTGATTGTTGGTCCTACGTCAACCTTCCGTTCTTGCCCCTAAGCACAGACCCTTCTTCCTTTTTTTATATATTTTGAAATAACGTGTGCTTTATCTGCGCGGGGTGTCTAAAAGCCGTTAATCTCAGCGTTAATAACCGGTCAGTGCCAGTCAGATTTCCAAAAATCACTCTGATTACTTTTCAATTAATTGAGATTACCTTATTACTTTGAAATTACTTTCATTACTCTCGATTACCGAAATTACTACGATTACTTGAATAATTTTAGGAATTACTTTGTAATTACTCAATTATTCAATGATTAACAATGTTTCCAACGATGGAATTAACCACTTTATTCGAGCACTTAAAATGACGTTTACTACCACTCGAACATTGAAATAAAACATCACTTTGAGATTTTTTCTTCTAGAACCTCGAGAAAAGTAGCCAACATTTATGCGTTTCTTAAAAAAATATAAATTATTTGGACCAGTTTTGTGAAACCGCTGGTAGAAAGTCACGCCAAAACTGCTTGACAAAGTGGTCAATTGACCACTTTGTCAAGCAGTTTTGGCGTGACTTTCTACCAGCGATTTCACAAAACTGGACCAATTAATTTCTATTTTGTTATGAAACGCACAAATTTTGGCTACTTTTCTCGTGGTTGTAGAAGAAAACATCTCAAAATAATGTTTTATTTCAAAGTTCGAGTGGTAGTAAACGTCATTTAAACAGCTCGAATGAAGTGGTTAATTGTGAGAGAAATACGAGATTATCTGAGAATATTTTTATAATTACCTTGAATCCGCAGGGCAGATACCCACACGTGGTTGACAGCTACGTCATCGAAGCCCACAGGGCACGCCTAGACACGAGCGAGAAAAACTGCTAGAAAACTGCAATAATTACACATCAACAGATTGAGAGACGGACACGACAGTCGGACAGTCTGGATTTATTTGCTCTTTCGTTTGCCCCTATCGAGTGACGGTGTCGTTTACATGAGATAGTCTGGCTCTCCGTTTGCAAAGGGTTATCCCCAGTAAATTTACGTTCAATTCGGGATATACGACCGGGAAGGGATTTCCGGTACCGTGCGCTTCCTGGTGGTAGGTTTGATCCGGTGGTTATCGTTTTTCGGGTCCGAATTCTGGCACTAATGAGTTTCTGTTTCTTCTTTTCTCGATTCGACGGCGGCGGTGGATGGTGGTGGCGATTTGGACACGATTCAAAAAAAAAAGTGGTAAAAGATTGTGAAACGAACGTCTGTTTTGTGAGGTGGTGGGGACCATCCGACGACGAAAGGAAGGGCGAATAGTAGACGATTATTTAAGATTTGAGCCAATAGCAGCAACATTTAGCCATGAACATACCCAATCAATATCTGGAGAAGACCGAGGATGTGGCGGATCAGGTGAGTGTGCGGGAAAACGGGGTTTGTCTGGTTGGCTGAGGTGTCAAAAAAAAAAGTTAATCTTGTGCATCGAGAGTAAAGGTCAAGATGGGTAACTGAAAGCGAATTTTACAAAACATGAGTGGCCGGGCTGCCAGCAATGCTGAAGTGTATTTTTATGATTACAGCGAAACTATTTTTGATACACACTTGCATGTCAAGTTTACTCAGCAAAAAAAAGGGTGTGCTCTGGTCAGGATTGTGCTACCCCCGAATGTCACATCCCTGAACGATATTACTCCGAATGAGATTCAGCCGTCTTTAGATTGCTGATCGTTCTTTTTACATTTGGAGTGCCGTTCGGCGTAATGTAGCACAATCCTGACCATAGCACACTTTTTTATGCTGTGTAAACGTGACATGAAAGTGAAAGCTTGAATTGGGTTTTTTAAAGGGTATTGGGTGGGACTTTGTATATGGGAAAGAGCTGTCAATTTGTTTGTTCACGGCTAATGAAAACGAACCAAATTTCCTGGAAAATTCTGGGAAAACATGAGACAAATTTACTCATCGCTGAGTTCCTGCACTTTTGGCGATTATGAGTGAACTAAACTCAAATTTGGGTCGTTCTCATTCGCCGTGTTCAATTGATCATTTTGTCAAGCTTCTGCATTCATTTTTCATCAGATGTCACAGATATGCATTTAGATTAACATCCAAAGTCCCTACTGAGTATGTAGTCTTAAGCGCTACTACATCTTAAGGACTGTGGCTGAAAGGACTCTTGTAAGATTTAAAGCAGCTCAGTGCAGATGATTCATTTGTTATTTTTTGAAAACAATCAAGGATGTATTGCGATGTCTAAGAATACCGAATGTAAACGTGTCAAGCATATAGACTTCAAACACCATTCGTTATCCAACTCTCAACCAAGAAGGAAGTCAATAACAATACAGTCTACAACTGCTTCGTATCGCCAGCAGCTTTCATGAGTGTTTAGTGTGATGAACGAAGAACTAAATAATATATCTGAGTAATGTAAATGGAAGAAATTTAACATAGCCAAAACGAAATGATGACCACTACACGGCTGCATAATGACAACAATAGCAACATTCAATGCGAAGCTAACGATTTTAAATTGGCTTATTTCTTGACTAGCCCATTGGTCCCGGGTACATCTATAAGCGTACCCAAGGGGTATTCTGTGCCACGAGATTTTGCTGTGCCGAACGTGCCGAAGTAGGCCCAAGTGTACCAATCAAGATGTCAATATCCCATGAGTTTGGCAACCCGGAAGTTATAATAACTTTTGTGATTGTGTTTTCATTTTCAATTTATTTTGTGGGTGCTGATAAACATTAAGCTTCATTCTCATTCATGTACGTGAGCGGAGCGGGCAGAGGAAGAGTAACTCGATGCCATCCAACCTATACGGTGTTCCAGCAAACTCGATTCGTCAAAAAAAAACATGTGCAGAAATGAATGTGTAATGTGTTTGATGGTGGACGAAATTTCCTCCAGCTGCCTGTTAAATGCTCCCCGGCAAAATCAAAACCAGAATTCGAACGGGCGCTACGGTGTTACCTGACTTATAACGTATATGCGTTGTATATGAGTACCCCGAATACAACGTATAGTTCATCTAATGTTGCATTGCAAATGCTATGCAAAATTAGACGAGTCATACGTTGTATTCGGGGTCCTCGTATACAACGTATATTCGTTATTAAGTCAGGAAACACAGTAGTTCAATCACACGCTACAAACAACATCCTTGAACTAGGTCATCGACTCCAGAAGTACGTAATCCCGAAGACATCAAATCAAGCATAACTATTCAAATCGACGTATCTGGAAACATTTAGCAGATAAGCTTCGCAAATGCAGTTCTACTGCCGTGTATTACGAACCTCACTTTACCTCAGCTAATTGGCGCTTCCAGTTTGCTGATCGTCTCTCCAATTTGTGAGCCATTTAGCTCCCAGCGTCGCGTTCTACTCGGTTAACCCCGGTGGTGGATTCAGCCTACTCTGACGAAGAGTTCTCGCGGCTTCGGCTTTCACTTCGCACTTGTGTGAGCACATTACTACTTTCTAGCTGGTCCTCTCGCCAGTTTTCGCTGCAGCGCTGATATGATCTGCGTTACTGCTCTGCTGACGGCGTTAAAGGTGCCCTCATCTCGACACATTTCTTCGACGACATTCTCCATGCTAAGGGCGAGCATCTCCTCTCGCACAGCATCAAATCTAGGACATTCGAAGATCACGTGCTCTGGTGATTCTAGAAGGGTGACGTTGTGTGTCCGAACCGATGCAGCTTCTTCCTGAAGCAGCCATTACCAGACAGGAACTGCGTCAAGTTGACTTCTCCATGCTTCCTGTTCACCCAGGTCGAAAGAATCGATATGCCGATTGGGATCATACCGGCGATAACGCATACTGCCTCCATCGAAATGGTTCTGTACGCACTCACGACTCGCATGGCCATGAGCCGGAACGTACTGCTCAATTTCCTTTGGTTCTGCTTCGTTTTCCGCGCTTCAATCCAGGCTGGACCTCACTAGCCAGAAGGCGCCTCTTGCTGCTGCTTGGACCAGAATTGTTCGGCATGATTCTGGCTATTGCGTTGATGACCTTCGCCGCCTTCTCGCAAGCATATTCGATGTGGCTGTTGAAGTTTGACCAGTCGTCGATCATCACTCCCAGATACTTTAGCACGCGCTTCGAAACAATGGTGTGCTCTTCAACGGTGATTTCTGCCCGCTGTACTGCTTTGCAGTAACTGACCAACATCACTTCTGTTTTGTGGTGGGCTATCTGCAGCTTCGCTCCTTGCATCCAGTTACCAATCGTATCTATCGCCTCGGCCGCCAGCATTTCCACTTCTTCCAACGATCTCAACTCCTTTGGGCAGCTTGAGCATCAGCACGCCATTGTACATTCGGTTTCACAGCGTCGGACCTAGAATAGAGCCTTGTGCTACTTCCGCCGTGATTCTGAGCGATTTCTGTCCCGTGTCTGTCGCGTAGACCAGGACCCGGTCCTGGAAGTAACTACTTAGAATCCTGCAGAGGTAGTCTGGAACCCTCATTCTATGGAGCGCCTTAGCGATGGCCTCCCAACTGGCGCTATTGAATGCATTCTTCACATCAATCGTAATCACGACGCAGTATCGATTTCCTCTCCGCTTCTGTTTGGAAGCTTTCTCGGCTCTGTCGATCACTGTACGAATTGCATCCACCGTCGATCTCCCTTTCCGGAATCCAAACTGCCTCTCCCACAATCCTTGTTCACTCTCCGTGCATTTCGTCAGCCTGTTCAGGATAATCCTCCCCAAGAGCTTTCCGACAGTATCCAGCAAGCATATTGGCCTATACGATGCAGGATCCCCCGGCGGTTTGCCGGGCTTCGGCAACAGCACAAGCTTTTGTACCTTCCACCTATCAGTGAACTGACCCTCGTCCAGACATTTCTGCAGCACCATCCTGAACATGTCCGGGAACGTCGCCGCATTCAACGCCACGTTGGGAATTCCATCCGGGCCCGGGAGCTTTATTCGCCTTCAACCCTTTCGCTGCTGCTATGAGTTCCTCGTTGGAGACTTGTTCAACGTTGTCTTCATCTTCCTCGCCATATGGTGTAGGTGGCCAGGTCGTTGGGTCATGCTGTGGGAAAAGTCCCTCCACGATGACTTTCAGCTTGTTGGGACACATTTCAACCGGCATCGTTGGACCTCTGATCTTCGCCATCGCGACTCGGAATGCTTTGCCCCAGGGGTTGGCATCGGCTTCGCGGTACAGCTCCTTGAAACTATTTGACTTGCTCAGCTTTATCTTTCGGTTCAGTGAAGCCCAAGCCTCTCGGAACACTACCTTGCGCTCCTCTCTGTCTGCTTCCGTTCTTGCTCTCTGAACGAGCCTTTTGGCTAGAAGACAAGTAGCACGGAGGGGGATAATTTCCTCGTTCCACCAGTAAGCTGGACGCCGCCTGTTCGTTGGCTCCAGCTTTCTCGGCATAGTTGTGTCACATGCCCTTGCTAATGATTCGGTAAACTCGTTCGCGCTTAGGCCCGGGACGCTGCTGTCTACCCTTAGAGCTTCGATGAAGAGATCCTTATTGAATGCCTTCGTCTTCCACTTTCGCTCGCTTACTTTTGTCCTCCGCATTTCCACCGGTGTCCGTTCGCCGATACTGTACCGGATCGCCTGATGGTCACCATGTGTGTACTCTTCGCACAGTCTCCAGTTCATATTTGCCATTAGCACGTTGCATCACTGCAGAAAGTGACGTCGATAATGGATTCCCTACCATCTTTGCGGAAGGTGCTGATGGTTCCTAAGTTGGCTAGACTGACGTTCAACTTTGCCAGAGCTTCCAGCAGGCTATACCCTCTAGCGTTGGTACACCTGCTCCACCAATCCACTGCCCAAGCATTGAAATCTCCTGCGATGACGGCTGGTCTCCGTCCAATGAGCTCTCCGGTGAGCCCATCTAGCATCTGGTGGAACTGCTCAATTGTCCATCTCGGGGGTGCTTGGCAACTACATACATAGGTTCCATTGATTTTGGCGATCACGAAACCTTCGTATGAGCCCGCCATCACTTGTTGAATGGGATACCTGCCCATGACTTGTATGGCCGCCATTCCTGCTCTATCCCCAACGTGTGCCCAAGCGTGTCGAACAGTGTGCAGAGTTGATTACCCCCTGAGCCTACCCCATTTTCGTACTTGAATCTGTCAAAGTTTATGTTTGTGTTGATTCGCCTTATAAATTTGACAGAGTTTAATGAGGGGCTCGTGGATGTTCCTACGTTTCGAGGGGGTGCTTCAATTAGCTTGGGATCTAAGGTCCAGTACTTCCGGAGCCAAATGATTAAGCACGTTTCTTCGGAACCCGGAACTACTGCTACTCTATACTGTTCCTTGGTTCGAAATAACAATGGAGATGCGATTGATCCTGTGACCTCTGCTGTAATCGGTTAACACCAAGAATGTTCATGTTGAACTGTTTGCAGCGAATGTCTGTACCGAAACGAGTCGAGTATAGCCCCTTAGTTTTGTGGTCCTTGTGACAAAAGGAAATACGGGTTATAGCCAACTTCCGGAAGGCACAGGTTCAACAGAACAGGCAAACACTCAAAGGCAATTTAAAAGTTTCTGTAAGATATTTGTGACACAGAGAGCCTTGGATTTAGAGAACTGGATGGGAATGTAAGGAAGTGAAGCCAGACAAAAAGGAAACTCTCAGCGTTAAAACATTAGGGAAGATTTAGAAATGACGTAGCATTTTGGGGTGACCAACCACGTAGAAAAATACGATACAAGGGAGTTCAAAGTTGGTGCTTCATCAAACGTAAACAAACGTATAACGTTTGTTTACGTTCCATGAAGCATCAACCTCCCTCTTGTAGCGTATGTTTCTACATAGCTGATCACTCTACAGTGCTACGTCATTTCTGGATCTTCCCTATCGGTAGATATCTGCTCGTAAAATATCTTTGCGATTGCTCCGGACATAAGTCCTTTATTTAACCCGGAGGAACAACTCCAAAAGGCTAGACCGGGTAAACCCCACATAACGAAGAAAGGCAAAACATGGCAGAACTTGGAAGAGCTCAAAAGTGCTCACCGTTGAGAAAGCAGTACGAACGCATCGTCGGTCTTTCTTACTCGAAAAATTCAAAATTATTCAAATCTACAATCAATGTCCAGTACCGCCTGAAGCAATCGCAGCATTGCTAATTAATCACCCTCCTTGACCTAACGTAAAATCAGTAACGATAGCGTAGCATTTCTACAATCGAACGTAAAAATCGGAATGATTGCAAACCAACCAACTCACTGTGCTTGAAGAAGAGTGCCCCGCAGTCAATATAGCTGCTGATAAGTGACGACGGTGGAAAACAATCAACATGCCTCCAATTTCCGATTATCATCGTTCCCCATACATGGGGGGAAGACACGCGTCTACGTAAATAGTTAACGGCTACGTCATTCGTATCGAGATCGATTATCGTCATCGTCCCCGACCCTAATCGATGAGGCAGAAACAGAAAAATGACAACGTGTTTCACACGCGACTGTAAAGTCGAGTTTAGACGAGGCAAGTCTCACCCCGATCGGAATGAAACATCTAAACCTGGCTTAACACACGCAGCAGGTAGGCTCCACCCAGACGCGTCTGTCGTTTCGTGGTGGCTATAAAATGTATGCAAACTGGTTCTGCTCTTACGTAAATTCACTTTCCTTCTAAGCTCGGCAGTAAATTTGCATAATATGGGTATTTGGGCCAGTGTTGCCGGGATTGCCCAAGTGGAAATCAATTAAGATTATCGAAGGAAATGTTGACACCGAAGTCATTCCCCCTAGAGTCGGTGTATAATGAGTCACGCCAAGAGTGAAGCCAAGTCTACCTATTGAACTGTCAAACCGGCTACCTATCGAGCAAAGTAAACAAACATTACGATGCTATGAAAGGTCCACGAAAGGTATTGCAATAAAATATAAAATATAATCGAGAAATGATCATAAATACGCAGTGAGCATTAATTTGTCATGGGATACGTTTAGTAATGACCAGTAATGAGAATTTCTACTATTTTTTTGTTAAGATAATTTGACAAAATCACTGATATAATGATTTACTACAGCCGCTATTTTTATTTATGGCTAGAAGTCATTTGAAGTTGATGTAGAAGTCCTCTGTTGCCAAGTGAAAAGAAAGGGAATCTTTCGAAAACCGTGATGCGAGTTAAACTGTTTTTCTCTTGGCGTGACTCATTATACACCGACTTTAATTCCCCCTTGTATGTTATACCTGAACTCAACCGAAATTTTCCAAAACCTTGCACATGGACCAACAGATCATTCGAAAGGGTAAACACGTCCTACCGCACGTGGCGCGGCTCTGCCTGATAGCGACCTTCCTCGAGGATGGCATCCGAATGTGGGTACAGTGGAACGAACAGCGCGAATACATGGACATGAGCTGGGGCTGCGGGAAATTCCTGGCCACGATGTTTGTGCTCATCAACCTGATCGGACAGGTCGGTGGCTGCGTGATGGTGCTGGGCCGGCTAAAGGTCACGATCGCATGCGGAATTCTGTTCTTTATCGTCGTACTGCAGGTGAGTTTACCCCCCTCTAAATCTACATAATCGGTTCTAATCTTATGCTCCTCCGTAGACCGTCGCCTACTCGATCCTGTGGGACATTCAATTCCTGCTGCGCAATCTGGCTCTGATCGGTGCCCTGCTGCTAGTGCTGGCCGAGTCTCGCGGAGAAGCCCGGAGCCTGTTCGCCGGAGTCCCCTCGCTCGGCGAGAACAAACCGAAGAACTTTATGCAACTGGCCGGACGAGTTCTGCTCGCATTCATGTTCATCACCCTGCTCCGGTTCGAGTTGAGCTTCCTGCAGATCCTACAGGACATCCTGGGCTCGATCCTGATGGTCCTGGTGACGGTCGGCTACAAGACGAAACTGTCCGCCCTGATCCTGGTGATGCTGTTGACGATCCTCAATCTTTACCACAACGCCTGGTGGGCCATTCCGGCCTACAAACCGCTGAGGGACTTTTTGAAGTACGACTTCTTCCAGACGCTGTCCGTGATCGGTGGACTGCTGATGATCGTTTCGCTCGGCCCCGGCGGTGTCTCGATGGATGAACACAAGAAGAAATGGTAAAATGCGGGCGGTTCTGCATGGCAAATAATTGTTGATATTGTTCCGTCATTGAGAGAGAGAGAAAACGAGAAAGAGAGAGAGAGAGCGTGCGAAACACTTTTTCATTTGATAGGATTTTTTTATTATAAAAAGGATTTTATTAAAATTTACCGATCCATCACACGTCGAACTCACTTGGAAAGACACACCACCTAAAATAACGCGCGCGAAGCTAGGAACCATCGACATGTGATAAAGTGCAACACTTCCATCGATCGACACCGAGACAGACAGAGAGCCAGCGGCCAGAAGGATTACAAAGACTTCAGACTATTTCCGAACTTAATGTTGACTTTCAATTTCCTGTTTGTGAGAGCATTTTTTTCTGTTGGTTCTGTCTATTAGGGAAACGTAAAGTTCTACTACTGTATGTCGCTTTTCGAAAAAAGAACAAGCAAACAAACATCCAATTAAAAAAAAACCATACGAAAACAAAAGAACTAACTATATTAAGGCAAGGGAAAACAAAAGTATATTAACTAAATAAAACCAGAAACTGATTAGATTTTTACCTATACAAACCGAACCGACGTTCTCTGTCTTTCAATGGTTTTCTGTTCTGTTCTTGTCTCAACTCAATTCGTCCAACGAGCATTTGTCTTTCCTTTAGTTAGTAAAACTATTCTTTTTTTTAGAAGGGCGCAGCGTTATGCCCTTACCTGCTTGTTCCGCCACATAATTTACTTATGATAGAAGTATTCCCTACTGAATGTCCCATGTATGAAAGTACTAACTTAAGTGGTAATTTCGCCAACGTACGAGAAACAGGAAACTACGGTAGTTACTAACTATGAATTACTTCAGCTCAATTGCGATTATGTATACATGACGCACAAGGATAATACCGCTTTTAATAAAACACAAACGTTATGACATGGAAAAGTACGGCACACGATTGGTATTTAATTTGCATGAAGTCTAAATTTTGTCCACCATCTTTGCGGAACCTGTATGGAGTTTTTTTTTGGAGCAAATTTGTCTTGACTGGTGCAAGTCCAAAATTGTGCAAACTAACGTGCGCAGAAAGAACCTCTACAGACAGGTAAGGAAATGTGTACATTCTTACTGATTACTAGGGGCTGTTAATTAACCACGTAGACAGTTTTTTTTTTATTCTTGACGCCCCCCCCCCCTTCTTCCCATGCGTCGACAATTGTACATACATAATTTTTTTTTAATTTGTATAGGCCATGGATAATTGCCCCCCCCCCCCCCTCCTAAACTGTCTACGTAGTTTGTTATAGACCACAGTGTCGGCATGATGATAAGTATCCTGATGAATGTGGATGTGTATAGTGCAATATCTGTATGAAGAAAGAGAGAAGGATTAGTAATTTCCATTTAATTCCAGTACCTTTTTGCTTTATTGCTTATCCTTGACAGATACGTGTATTTCGTCTACAATGCAGTGGTCCAGAACGGCAATTTAGTATCTTTTACAAAGTTGTTTCTTCATTTTGGTGTCAACTAGGGTGGGTGAGCACCAATGCTACCGACGCCAGGGAGGCAACTCCCACACCTGGATCCTACATATCGACCCATCAACTCATGAACCGAAGGAAGGCGTGATCAGAGATGCTATGCCTCAGAACCCAGGCCTGCTGGGGTTTTTTTTATACTGAGGGGAATCTGCTCACAGACACCTGAGAATGAACTCAGGGTGTGGGGATGGGAGAATTGCACTCCCAACCCAGTAAACCTTACGCTGTGCGCTTGGCCCTTGACCTCACCGGAACCGCCCGAAGGCATTACTTCGTGGGAGGGGCCGCTATAGCGCTATGACGCTTCTCTAGCAATACTCTATCGATCTAGTCGGGCAGTAGGCAACTGCTGCTCGGCACGCCACTGTCGTTGTAGTTCCGAAACTATCTGGGTGACCGCAGTAACCACCGCGCTCCAGTTCTCGGTGGTATTACACATCCTAGGGACGATGTTATCCGGACTGGTATCCGCTCTGCATATCGCTAGCATAGCGCTCGATACTGGCTCGAAGCGTAAATAGGCGAACACAACGTGTTCGGCCGTCTCTTCGACGCCAGCACACGCGCGGCAGGTGGGAGTACTTGCATGTACAAACATATGCAAGTAACTCCTAAAGCAGCCATGGCCTGACAGGAACTGTGTCAGGTGGAAGTTTACTTCCCCGTGGCGCCTGTTGACCCAGCTTGATACGGAAGGTATCAAGCGGAAGGTCCATCTCCCCTTTGTGGAGTTTTTCCACTCCGACTGCCATCTCGCAGTCGACACCGCCCGCGCGTTGTTGCGTACCCTTTCGAACAGTCCTCGCGTCATAGCACACCACGTCCGCTTACTGGCATTCACTGCCGAGCTGTTTGACATCATGTGGAATAATGCCCCCACAGCCGTAGACGCTCTCTTGCAGACATACTCGACGTGGCAGCCGAAGCTGAGCTTATCATCGAGCATAACCCCCAAGAGTTTCAGAGAGCACACAGACCTAATTGTGCTCTCGCCGACTGTCAACGTCGCATGCTGCACCGACATGCGATTGTTGACTACGACCACTTTCGTCTTGTGATGGGCAAGCTCCAGTTTCCTGGATCTCATCCATTCCTCCACAAGTTTAACGGATTGAGCCGCTGTCAGCTCTACCTCTTCAAGGGATTCCCCGTAGACTACTAGCGTGACATCGTCGGCAAAACCAACAATTTTCACGCCTACTGGGAATCTTATCCTCAGCACTCCATCGTACATGACGTTCCATAACACCGGGCCCAGGATGGAGCCTTGTGGCACTCCTGCGATGACTCTAACGCATTTTTCGCCATCTTCTGTGTCTTACATCAACACACGATTCTGGAAGTAGCTTTCCAGGATCTTGTACAGCCCTCCGGGGATTCGGAGTTGCTGTAGCGAGCGGGCTATCGCCCCCCAGCACGCGCTGTTGAACGCGTTCTTCACGTCTAAAGTTACCACCGCGCAGTAACGAATGACCCTTCGTTTCCGATGGACCACCTCTGCCATCTGAATGACGTCACGGATGGCGTCCACCGTAGATCTGCCTTGTGGAACACGTACTGGCTGTTTGACAGGCCGTCTACACCTTCGGTGTAGGCCGACAGCCTGTTGAGGAAGACGCTGTCAAGCAGTTTGCCAGTGGTGTCCAGCAAACAGATGGACCTGTATGTTGACGGGTCCCCAGGGGGTTTCGCTGGCTTCGGGAGATGCACCAGCCTCTGCCGCTCCCACGCATCTGGGAAGATGCCTTCGTTCAGAAAGGTCTGAAATACAGACCTGAACATGTCTGGATTTTCTGCAACGACCGCCCTCAGAGCCACAACCGGGATCCCATCTGGCCCCGGAGCCTTGTCCACCACCAGCGACTTGGCAATGTCGATCAGTTCACTGTTTTCTTACTCTAAACACTTCTACCTGTTCCGCGACTAGGATATCCAACGGCCAGGAGTCAACGTCCCTACGTGGAAACAAGAACTGTACGATCAACACCAGCATCGCGAGCGATCTCTCCGGGGGTGCCGCCCCCCTTCGAGTCTTGGCCATGACCACTTTGTAGGCATCCTCCCAGAGGTTCGTGTTAGCGCTTTGGCATAAGCTGTCAAAGCACGCGCGCTTGCGTCTGGCGATCTCTTTATTGAGGGCCGCCTTAGCCGCTCGAAGAGCGACGCGGCGTTCCTCTCGAGATTCAGTCGTACGAGCTAGTTGCATCCTCTTTCTTGCATGGAGGCAAGACGCCCTGAGAATAGCAATCGACTCGCTCCACCAGTACACCGGTCTATGGCCATGCCTGGGATAGGCTCTCCTAGGCATGGTTGTATCGCAGGCCCTTGTCAGCCATGCTACCAGTTCTTCCCCCGTCAGATCCGGGGTTATTCGCTCCCGCGTCAGTGCTTCGCCGAAGACCTCTTCATCAAAGAACGACGTCCGCCAGCCTCGAGCGCAGGAAGGATTCCCTCCTGCCACTCGCCTCTCACCTAGCCCCACACTGTAGCGAATCGCCTGATGGTCACTATTGGTGTAACCATCATCGACCCTCCAGTGTAGGTTGCCCTCCAAACACGGGCTGCAGTACGTCACATCAATGACGGATTCTGCACCGTTCCTTCTGTAGGTACTGACCGAGCCGGTGTTGGCTAGTACAACATCCAGTTTGGCTATTGCCTCCAGTAGGATGCATCCTCTATGGTTGGTGTGGTGGCTGCCCCACTCCACCGCCCATGCGTTAAAGTCGCCCGCAATGACCACCGGTCTTAGGCCGACAAGTACCGCAGTGAGTCTGTCCACCATCTGCGAGAACTGCTCGATAGACCACCTGGGCGGAGAATAACAGCTACTTAGATATACTACATTTGCATTGCATTGCATTGCTCTTGGCCCCCGGGCAGCGTGGGCCACCTGCCATGTGGTTGGTAGGGGATTTCCCCTTCTCCGCGCATATAGTGCACCTCGGCGGCTTTTGGCAACCTTGCGCCTTATGACCCTCCGAGCCGCACCATCTACACAGCTTGCTCCTGTAGGTGTTCTTACAGTCCCGAGCCACATGGCCCTGACCGAAGCACCTGAAGCAAGCCATAACCGGTCGGGGGATGCTCACTGAACAAACCGACCAGCCCACTCGTACCCTCCCTGTGGCTGCCGCCTTCCTGGCATCAGCTGCCGGGAGCTTCACGGTAGCCACCTGGAGAACAGTCCCTTCCTCAAGGTAACCGCTATTGGCGGTACCTCGATTTGGCACTGCTCCCTGAGCGCCTTGGCTAGTTCGGTCACCTCTGTCACTACATCCAAGTCCTTAACCTGGATGGTGATCGTCGAGTCTAGCGATCTTACCTGCACCCCATTTCCAACGACCTCGTTTGCCAGTTTTTGGTACGTCGGTCCCTGGTCTCTTGCGTCACGCTTAAGCACCAGGAGCATCTCGCCAGTACGAGTGCGCCTGATGCTCTCACGTTATTGCCCATCTCCACCAGACGCTCGTCAGCTCTCATCTTCTTCAAGACTTCCGCGTATTTCGACGCTTCCGTCTTGATGATGAGAGCCTCACCCATCGTCCTGTTTGTTCCGGGCAGTGCTGCTCTTAGGGGCAGTTTTATCCGGCGGTTTCGGGGGCTTCGGAGATCGTTATCGATCAGTTGCCTATTGTCGGCTGTGAAGAAAGAGTGGATGAAAGTGTGTTTACCAACCTGGATTGTTTTAACCTTCTTGCAAGACTTAATAGGGAGTTTCACTTGAGTTTAAATGTGCGCAGCGCTAACTTTAACATGCAGTTTTATTAGATATGATGGATTTGGGCATTAAAGATGTACCGATAAACGAGCAAGCTCCGGTCGCGTGAGCCTCCCCTAAACGAATGAAATTGAATTACCTACCGTATAATTAATCATCTATTGCTTGATGCTTCGCAAGCGCATTGGCACTCGATTAAAACTTTTCTCTTGCTCGTCTCACATTAAATCACAACAATTGTAGTAGCTTAGCGTACGAGTATTCAGAACGAGTGAGTTTCTCCAGGTTGTCTTTTCTAGCCGACACTCGTCCTCCTCCCTTTGCTGCCGGTGCTGATGCTGCCCCTGTCAATACATCATCGAGCTGGAGGTGGACTTCCTGCTGCGAAAACTGTTCGCCGCCATGCTCATGCGTATGTGCTGGAACGTTAGCGGAACGTTCAACCGTCGGTCCCGGTGTTTGTAGTACTCGTTGTAGTCCAGCCGCATGCCCAACTGCCGGAGCGTTTCGCTCGTCGAAATGGCCAACTGGTACAGGAACTGGCCAACCAGATTCTCGTACTCATTACCAATGTCCTGCAGCAGGGTCTGATGCGTGGCCAGGTGTTGTTCGAAAGTTTTGGCCTGCTCGTCCCGTTCGAGCATCTGCTCCGTTGTGACGCCGTAGTCACCGGTGCGTTCGGTGTGCTTGATTTGGTCCTACAAGTGGGAAGAGATCGTTGAAGGGCCCGTTGTACCGATGAAGAAAATTTTGCAAACCTACCTGATAGGCCTTCCTCGCTTCGTACTCCGTGAAGCACAGCCGGTAGAACCGCTCCTGCCATTCCTCCAGTTTCCGCACCGTATCGAAGATGTGCTCCAGGGTATTGGTGATCTGCTGTGAGCTGTCGTCCAGGAAAATTCCGAGCCGGATCTCCTCCAGAAACTGATGGTGTGCCTCCAGGATGTCATCCAGTGCCATGGCTTGGTTAACCTTCGGCAGAAACTGCACCCACGAGCACTCGATCACCTCAAAAAGAATGTACAATTGCATCTGACCGACAAAGTTGATCATCTGGGAGGTGATCAGCTGAACACGGGTAACAATCGGACCGATCAGCTTCTGGAGCGAGTTCAGCGATTTGACGGCCAGCGTTTGACGTTTCCAGGTGCGCGATAGGATGAACTGAACGTGCTTCATGTTCCAGAGGTGCTTAAAGAAGGTCTGATACCGGCAAAGAGACGGTTCGAGGATTGTGGAGAGCGGGCCGGATACTTTGTAGGTCAAACCAAACACGTCCCACCCGGATTCGCCTTCGTAGTGCGTGAGGAAGTGAACGTCCAAATAGTTCAGCACTTCGGGTTCTTCTTGTTCGGAGAAGGAGTTCCGCACGGCAGCGGCCAGGATGGAGAACAGATCATGCTGGTAGATTTCACTAGCCGGGCGATCCAGTTCTGCTTGGAGATTTTCCATCAAGATGTCGGCAAAGTTGCCCTGGCCTAGGAGCAGATAGCTCCTCAATGCTTGCAGATGATCCAGGAGACGATGTGGTCCCAGGACAATGTCTAGAACCTGCTTGGAAGTGTTCAGGTAGGCGTTATCGATCAGTTGATGCAGCTTGGTAGTGCTGATTGGAGAGAAAATGGAATCCATATCGTTTTCCAGGCACTGCTTCAAGTCATTTCTGGCCTTCACTGAAGTTTTGTCCTGGCAAACCTCCCGCAGAAAGTTGATACTCTTTCCAATGACCAGGATTCGTTTGGCTATCCCATCGTCAACAAAGCTGGGCAGCATGCTCTTTCGGATTCGGTACTTTTGGTGCCACAGCTGATCGAATCCTACTTCGGAGATTTCCTCTATGAAAAATTCCCCGTTCGGATCGACGATTTCCCCATTCACCAACCAACGGATCAAACCGTGTTGCAAAGGAATGCATGCCGATCGCAGTAGTTCCATGGCAAGTTTTCGATTCTCCGCATGACCGTTCGCAGTGTAGTCGTAGACGATGGTAGCCAGAGCACCTCCTTTTAGTTCCTTACACGATTCGGAAATCAAGGCCAACCACTGAAGACGTTCTATGGGACTGGCCAACCACAGGCGAAGCTTCTTCAGCGTTAGACGATCCCCTCCGGTCATCCCGGTGCGCTCCTTTTGCTGTCGGTTCAGATCTTCCTGCAGCATCGCCAGCATCCCATAGTACTGAGTAAGCTCCCGTTGCAACGCAGCTATGTACCCCTGCCCGAAGTTTCCCTTCATGTAGCAATCGCTCTTCGGATCGGTAAACTTCGCTACGCGATCATGGAAGTGACCAACTTCAGCCAACTGCAAGATCATCCCCGCATCACCTATGCTCAACGTCCTCCCTTTGATGTGATCCAGTTTGAACTCCCCCGTCACGACGTGCTTCCGCAGATACTTCCCCTGAATGCCAGTACAAGCATAAATCACATCCTGAATCAACTGATCCTGCAAATTATTGGAAGCAGCCAATCCTTCCTCTTCTGAAAGTTCTCCGGATGTAGTTGAACTCCTCCCATCCGGCACCACCGATCCTAGCTTGAACGGAATGATTCTCATCCCGGTGCTAACGCTATCCGTCGATCGCGTCCTAAGCTCTATCCTTGAAAAGATGTTCTCCAACCCTCCACCGGAATCCGCCCCGGACGATCGGGAACTGGCCTCCGTCGTTGGTAAACTACTATCGCTTCGCAGTTCAGCATTCAAATTCAGCAGATGCTGTCCATTCAATCCCTGTGATGCTCCACCGTCGCTATCCGCCAACAGCAACAGAAATTCCAATATCTGACCTCGTCGTTTGCTGTCAGTCTAGAAAAAAACAAGAAATCCCAAATCAAAATGTCTTCAAATCACACCCACACAACTCCTAGCTCACGTAAGCGCTCATCTGCTCGTGCAGCGCCTGAAACAGGGCATACTCGCTCTGACCCTTGCCCCGCAGATGTTGACCGATGCGGACGACGATCGAGCTCTCATCACTTCCGCCGGATCCGGCCACAACGGAATTCGGTGTGTTGGCAACCAACTGGGTAACGCCTTTCAGTACCGATCCTGCAAGAAAACCACACCATCAATCCACCAACCGTGCGGGATATGTCACTGCCGATCGGAATTAGGAACAGATTGCTTACCATATCGATCGCCAGCAAGATTTTTGCACAACTTCCGCAGCAGCTCGTAGATTTCGGTGTAGTTATGGTGGCGCTGCTGGTGGGAATGCATTTTCGGAAACGCGCTACTGTTGCGGAACCGCGAGGCGATGGAACATTGGAAATTTACACACGAATTAACACGATTAAAACACGGATTTTTTGCGACAAATTAAACACGAAATTTAAACCCAGGAAGGGATTGGTGCGCGGAGTAACGTACTATTTTTTTTTCTCGGATGACAGCGCTTGTTTTTTTTTGTGGCGCTGTTTTTGTGTGCTTTTGTCGCAAACTGTCAAAAATATCGATACACGCTAAAAATATTGGAAACAAGTTCCGATTCTCAACGAACATTGCAAAAGGTCCAGAGTATAGTAAAAATTTTAATTTTATCGACGGTAAATATCTTCGTCGATTTTTTTGCGATATTACGCCGAATGAATAAAAAGAGTTTAAAGAGAAAGAGAAAGATTAGTAATTTCCATTTAATTCCACTACCATATTTGCTTATCATTGACAGATACGCGTATTTAGTCTACAATATGCAGACTTTTTCAGTGTCTTGTACTAATAGTTGAGTATTAGTACAAGACACTGAAGAAGTCTGCACATTGTAGATGAAATACGCGTATCTGTCAAGGATAAGCAAATAAGGGAGTGGAATTAAAAGGAAATGACTAATATTTCTCTCTCTTTCTCTTTATACAGGTATCCCACTAAGACGCCCACATTAATCAGGAAAAAGAGTTTACTTTCGTTTGCTGTTACCGCACTGTATTGGTCAAATTTAAGAAAATTGCTTCAGTCCGCATCGTGCTCTCTTGCCGTGCGGATCTATTTGCTTTTTGCTGAAGGAAGTGTTACTACTACCTAAAGCTACAACAAATTTAAACAGCACTTTTCAGTGCTCAACCTGTAAAAAATTTTCTACCTTGTTCAACTCTTATTCCTCTTCGATCCTTGTTTGGACCCTACCCGAGGTAATCCTTCTTGGATATCGATTTGGAAAATTCCTCTTCGATCCTTCAGATTCTTATAGTAATCTGCTTGGAAGTCGATTTGGATAAAAATTTACTGCCGCCATGGCGCCTAAACGCAAAAGAAAGGGGCAAACTCTTGACCCCCCTTCTGATGAAATTAATTTGAGTAATCAATTTGATTTGCTCACGGATGATGAGAATGATCCATCATCCAAGAAAAATTCTAGTAAACTTTCCCGGCTTAATGCCAAGAAGGAAAAGATTCCCCCTATTGTGATAACCACTACCGATTTCCATGCTCTTCGCATGGAACTTTTGAATTTCGTGAAAGTTAAGTTTTCACTACAAATTGGACGTCGGGGTGAATGCCGTGTATTGGCTGAAACCTTGGACGGATTTAAATGTCTTCTCAAGTATCTTACTGAGAAGAAGCACAAATTTTTTACTTACGACACCAAAACTGAACGTGTGTTCAAGGTTGTCATGAAAGGACTGCCCAGTGGTGAATCCCTGGATCAGATCAAAGATGAACTGGCAAAATTACTTGGAGTTGTGCCACTCCAAGTAATCAAAATGAAAATGAAATCCCGTCCTGGCGATTCGCGCAACGGGATTTCTAATGATTTTTATTTAGTTCACTTCAAGTCTAGTGAACTAAACAACCTTAAGGCCTTAGAAAAAGCTAGCCTTATGCTCCATGTCCGAGTGAAGTGGGAACACTTCAGGAAGACTGGAGGAAATTTCCAAAACCTCACCCAGTGCCGTAAGTGCCAGGGATGGGGTCACGGAACTAAAAATTGCTACATGCCAGCTAAATGCATGAATTGTGGTGATTCCTCTCACGCAAAGGACGACTGTCCTGTGAAGGAAGATCCTAAGAAATTTAAATGTTCAAATTGTGGTGAAAACCACAAATCCAATTTTTGGGAATGTAAGACTCGCAAAGCGATCCTACAATCTCGTTCTAACCGTCAGGTAGGAAACGCTCCACGTTTCCGACCAGGTACAAATTCCTCTGCTGTTAACAACGGTCAGCGAGGAACAAATTCTACATTCGTACCCGTAGGTACAAATATCTCCCCTGCTTCAAATGTTTCATCTGTACCTACTCCCCTCGCTGCTAACAATGTTCAGCGAGTTAATGGAGCTACCTATGCTGCTATTGCAGCGGGTAGAAATCAAAATACTAACCAACGTTCTAACGGAAATTTTGACAATTTTGACTTAGGAAGCATTACTGCCCCCAAAATGGAATTTTTACAGAATTCATTAATTGACATGATTTCTGATATGCTTAAATCTAACTCCATGTTTGATGCTATTCAAACTGGAGTAAAATTTGCAAATAATATTGTCATGACTTTAAAATTCAGTAATGGATTTTAAAGCATTAAATATTGTAAATTGGAATGCTCGATCTCTTAAAGATAATGAAGACGAGCTATTTAACTTTTTAAGAGTTCATAACGTGCATATTGCCGTTATAACTGAAACGTTCCTTAAACCTGCCCATAAGGTTAAGAAGGACGCAAATTACTTGATTTATAGAAATGATCGTCTTGATGGACCCTGTGGTGGCGTTGCCATCATTATTCATAGACGAATCAAACATAAAATTCTTTCTTCATTTGAAACCAAAGTTTTTGAAACTTTGGGGGTTTCTGTTGAAACAAAATTTGGACAACTTACGTTTATAGCTGCCTATTTGCCATTCCAATGCGTAGGCCAGCAAAAGAATTTTCTCAAGGGTGACCTCCAGAAACTTACCCGTCATAGGTCTAAATTCTTCATTATTGGTGATTTTAATGCAAAACACCGCTCATGGAATAATGCTCAAAGCAATTCCAATGGTAATATTCTGTTTGATGATTGTTCTGCGGGTTATTACACTATTCAATATCCAAACAGCCCAACATGCTTTTCTTCTGCAAGAAATCCCTCCACTATTGATTTGGTCTTAACTGATTCATGTCAACTTTGTAGCCAATTGGTTACCCATGCTGACTTCGGTTCTGATCACCTTCCAGTAACTTTTGAAATATCCCAAGAAATAATTTGTAATCCCAACAGCTCTACTTTCAATTACCATAGAGCTGATTGGGAGCAGTATCGAACATTTATGGAATATAACTTCGATCCAAACATTCCTTTGCAAACAAAGATGAAATTAATTATGCTCTTGAATCTCTGACTACTTCTATAGTTGAAGCAAGAGCTGCCTCAGTACCAAAATGCGAGGTTAAATTCGATTCAATTATAATAGACGATGATCTTCAGCTCTTGATCCGTCTTAAAAATGTCCGTAGGAGACAATATCAAAGAACACGCGATCCTGCCATGAAAGTTATCTGGCGGGATTTGCAAAAACAAATTAAAAAGCGATTCTCTGCCCTGAGGAACAAAACTTTTGAAAATAATATTTCTAAATTAGACCCGAGTTCCAAACCCTTTTGGAAACTCACAAAAATTTTGAAAAAACCTCAAAAGCCTATTCCAGCGCTTAAAGAAGGTGGTAAAATTTTGATCACAAATTTGGAAAAAGCTCAGAAACTTGCTAAGCAATTCGAGAGTTCCCATAATTTCAGTTTGGGTCTTACTAGTCCTATTGAGAATCAGGTTGCTCGAGATTTTCTGAATATTTTCTCTCGGGAAAATATTTTTGATGATTCCTGGGGGACTGATTTGGACGAAGTAAGGTCTATAACTAAAAATTGTCAAAATATGAAAGCTCCAGGTGATGATGGAATTTTCTATATCCTCATCAAAAAACTCCCAGAGAGTACCTTGTCTTTCTTGGTAAAATTATTTAACAGATGTTTCCATTTGGCATACTTTCCTGATAAATGGAAAAATGCAAAAGTTGTTCCAATTTTGAAGCCGGATAAAAATCCAGCTGAAGCTTCTAGCTACCGTCCAATAAGTTTGCTTTCTTCAATAAGTAAACTTTTTGAAAAGATAATTTTGAATAGAATGATGCTTCACATCAATACGAACTCAATTTTTGCAGATGAGCAGTTTGGATTTCGCCATGGGCATTCAACTACTCATCAACTCTTAAGAGTTAACAATTTAATTCGTTCAAACAAATCTGAAGGCCACTCAACTGGAGTTGCTCTTCTAGACATAGAAAAAGCATTCGACAGTGTTTGGCATGAAGGTTTGATTGCTAAATTGAAAAAGTTTAATTTTCCACTTTATATTATGAAATTAGTTCAAAATTATTTAACTGACAGAACTCTTCAAGTAAATTATCAAAATTCCAAATCTAATCGACTACCTGTTAGGGCAGGAGTTCCTCAGGGTAGCATTCTTGGGCCTATATTGTATAACATTTTCACTTCGGACCTCCCTGATTTGCCTCAGGGTTGCCACAAATCTTTGTTCGCTGATGACACAGGCATTTCCGCTAAAGGAAGAAGTCTTCGTGTTATTTGCAGCAGACTTCAGAAAAGTTTAGATATTTTCTCTTCTTATTTACAAAAATGGAAGATTTCTCCCAACGCTTCCAAAACTCAACTTATAATATTTCCACATAAGCCTAGAGCTTCGTTTTTGAAACCTAGTAGTAGTCACATAGTCACTATGAACGGAGTTCCAATTTCCTGGTCAAACCAAGTGAAATATCTTGGATTAATACTTGACCAAAAATTAACTTTTAAAGATCACATTGAGGGCATTCAAGCCAAATGTAACAAATATATTAAATGTTTGTATCCTCTTATAAACAGGAAATCCAAACTTTGCCTGACGAATAAACTTCTAATATTTAAACAAGTTTTTAGACCGGCCATGCTTTACGCTGTGCCAATATGGTCTAGTTGTTGCACTACCAGGAAAAAAGCACTTCAAAGGATTCAGAACAAAATTCTGAAGATGATTTTGAAGTTGCCTCCCTGGTACAGTACTACCGAAGTACATAGAATTTCGAATGTTGAGACTTTAGCACAAATGTCCAACAAAATAATTAATAATTTCAGGCAAAAATCGTTGCAATCCTCAATTGCAACGATTAATTCCCTTTATACTTAGATAAGATTTAGTTTTAGTTTTTAGTTTTAAGATATCAATTGTTATACTGACATGCAGGTTAAAAAACCTGTTTAAAATACTGAATTGCCAAGACATGAACAATGTAAAAACACTTAGATATATATCATAACAATTAAGGCTGGTACGTTACTGCAGTAACTGGAGCACCTAGGTTAAAATGAAATGTAATTTATTTTGAATTTG